GCTCTAAAGCATGTTTATCACACTGCTATGAACAAAACCAAAGGCAAAGAGTTAGAGCTTCTGTTGGCTATTTTACCTGATAACAACGGTTCACTTTACGGTATTATCAATTATCTCTACATCCATAAAACTTGACCCCTTTTGTCCTTTTAAGTATGATTACAACGAAAACCTAATGCTTCTTGTAAACTCAGGGGATCTTAAGAGAATCTGTGAAACCGAGCTTGGTTTGATATCTCAGTGTTGTCTCACAAAACATGTGTTCAAGATTAGCAAACAGTATCTAGCAAATGTATCCCTCAAAATCAATGTCAAGGTGAATACTTATCACCGCTGAATCAAAGTGTTCAATTGTTTTTAACAATATGAATCTCAAATATGATGTTTCTTATGTTGTTTTCAGATGGGAGGAAGGAACACAGTTCTGTTAGATGCCATAAGCTGTAGGATTCCATTGGTTAGCGATATACCAACAATAATATTTGGCGCAGACGTGACTCATCCAGAGAATGGGGAAGAGTCAAGCCCTTCAATAGCTGCTGTATAACTTATACAACATAACTCTGTTAACTATACACTTTCTGTATCAAAAAGTAGCTGAGCATGGTTTTTTTTTTTTTTTGGTTAGGTTGTTGCATCACAAGACTGGCCAGAAGTCACAAAATATGCTGGTTTAGTTTGTGCTCAAGCTCACAGGCAAGAGCTTATACAAGATTTGTATAAAACATGGCAGGATCCTGTACGTGGCACTGTTAGTGGCGGTATGATCAGGTAAATAAACAAACCGGCATATTTTTCAGTTTCTTCTGCTCTTTAATTATGTCGTTGGATTCACAAGCTTGTTTTTTTTTTTTTCTTTTTTTGACAGGGACCTTCTGATCTCATTCAGGAAAGCAACAGGGCAGAAGCCACTTCGAATCATCTTTTACCGGTCTGTTGTTTCTCATTATTCATTTCAGTTAAAGAAAACATCTGAGATACTGTGTTTCTCATTGTTGTCTTACTTGTGCAGTGATGGAGTAAGCGAAGGACAATTCTACCAAGTTCTACTCTACGAGTTGGATGCAATTCGTAAGGTAGTTTTACAACTTCTGTTTTTGTTTTGTTTATTTTGAAATCTTGTCTAATTTTATTAGTAAAACGTTTTTCTTTTGTGTGTGTTAGGCGTGTGCGTCGCTTGAACCGAATTATCAGCCACCTGTGACATTCATAGTTGTACAGAAGAGGCACCACACCCGTTTGTTTGCTAATAATCACCGAGACAAAAGCAGTACTGACCGAAGCGGAAACATCTTACCTGGTCAGTTCTCTTGAACACGGTTTGAAACAAAAGGATCATTCATAACAGAACTAACTATTTCTTGACCGCTTTTATTTACAGGTACTGTAGTTGACACTAAGATATGTCATCCAACTGAATTCGACTTCTACCTTTGTAGCCACGCTGGTATACAGGTACGAAACTAGCTTGTAAAACATTGGTTTCACCTATCTAAAAAAAAGAAACTTATTTGGTGTTAATTGAATGGTTTAGGGAACAAGCAGGCCTGCTCATTACCATGTTCTTTGGGATGAGAACAATTTCACAGCTGATGGTATTCAATCTCTGACTAATAATCTTTGTTATACCTATGCCCGATGCACCAGATCAGTCTCCGTTGGTAAATAACATCATCGTCTTCTTCCTTTAATCTTCAAATCAAATGAAAAATTGCAAACTTAATTGTTTTTTTTCTTTTTTTGCTGTTGTTGTATAGTTCCTCCTGCGTATTATGCGCATCTTGCAGCATTTCGAGCACGTTTCTACATGGAACCAGAGATCATGCAAGATAACGGGTCACCAGGGAAAAAGAGCACGAAGACAACAGCTGTCGGAGATTCTGGTGTCGGTGGAGGTGTGAAGCCGTTACCGGCTTTGAAGGAGAATGTGAAGAGAGTCATGTTCTACTGCTAAATGAACGACTATTTTATGAAGACTAGTAGTTTCGTTTTCATTCCGTTCTTAGTTCGGCTTTAGGTTTGCTAATGTTTGTAAATATGTTGGTTCGGCTTAGGCTTCGTTATTTCTAGAGTTGTGTGTTTTAGCTCAGGCTTCATGATAACGTTAATGCAATATGTTTTCCTTAAGGCTTATGGTTCTACTAACAGTTTCTCCATTGTTGCATCGTTCTCGTGAGCTTTAACTTCCTTTTTTATAGAGAAGGCTGGGCTTAGTGTAAAGATCTTAAACTCAAAGTTCTGTTTTGGGCCATTTTTTGGAAACTTCTAAGAAATGGTTTTAGAATAAACAACTCTATATCAAGATCTAGTCGTTTTTCTTTGAATGTTGTGATAGACTTACAGAAGAGTTTTTATGGGTTTACTCACACTGCCAAAGTAAATAGTGATGAATAATCTTCACTAGCTCTAAGTCGTTATGCGCCTCATAATGCACATGCAGAAGTACAGGGTTGCATACCTGAACAAATTCACAACCATCATCTTCCGGAAAGAGAATAGAATCTGCTCAGAGATAAATCAAAAGTCAGATTAAGAAATACTTTGATAGCGAGCAGGGTAAAGAGAAAACAACAGCATGGCATAAAACTGACTCAGTCTTAGATAGCCATGACCAACAAAACAAATATAAGCAGGCGAAATGCATAAGGAACTGCCGCATATACTCCAATTATACTAATCAAGAAATTTGCCGACCAAAAACAAAAGCGGCAAATTCATAAATTTAGAAAGTTATGGTCATTCCTTTTGGCCTTATACTCAAACTTCAAGCATATATACAGTTAATTAACGGAGATTCAGTAGTGCAACAATCCTCAAGAAGAAAACAACTCTCCTGACATAGATAACAACTACAGAAACAAAAGTAAACTGGTAAAATCCCAAACATACAGCTAATCCACAGAGAAACAAAAAAAAAATAAAACTTTGCTTCTGCCAACTCTAATCTGGGCAACGTACTAAGACTAAAACTAAAGATTTGGAAACAGAAGCGAAAGAAGTCACCAACGGAGACTCCACTGTCAGAATCAGCGACCTGATTCTTCCGAAGCTTCCTCTCCAAATGGGCCCGCGATCCATATCGTCCCAAGTGGTCCTTTCTTTGCTAATATAAACTGAAGTATAATCTTAGCATATACATTGACTATTTATATTTCCTACCTCTCTGGTCTTTGTAGGTTGATGGAAAGCCTAGCTTGGATCATCTATTTGACAGGATCAATCAAGCTATAAGCGTAGTGCCTTGTTACTAGTGTTCGCTGTCAAGAGAATATGGTTGGACACTTCAGAGCTTGGTCAATCCTCCTAAATAAATAAATAAAGAGAAACAATTGAGTGGTCAAAAATGTGTAGGGGATGACTTGTCTAACGAGAATCTGAAAAAACTGAGCACAATCAAACCAACATCTCAGCTGAAGAAGAAGGATATATGAATGGGTTTAAGGAGTCTGAAAGCAGACAAAAAGTAGAGAAGTAAAACTTGTTGGTTTTACCATCTCTGTACTTAGAACAGAGGAATCAACAGACTGAAAATCAACCCGCAAAGGTAAAACAAAACCAACAAGCTTTTTTAAAGAAACAAAACATCTTTACCAAAGAATCTGTGAATGGATCTAACAGAGCAGTCAAAAAGAAGAGAAAACAAGTAAACAATCAAGACTTGTCTTATAGAGAAACAAAGACCAATAAGCCATCAAACAAATCTATACAATGATCACAGGAATAAAGAGAAAACAAATATCTAGACTCTAAACGATTCCACCCTTCTTCAAGAATCAAGATCATCAACATCACCATGTCAAAACCAACCCAAACTCTGTTTATAATGCAAACTTCACTATGATTCAATTCTACTAGGACTCTAAAAGATTTCACCTTCTTCAAGATCATTAAAAAGATCATCATCAATATTAGGTTTTAAAACCAACCCAAACTGTTTAAGCAAAGATCGATCTCTTGCCTTGCGGGAGCCGCCAATGAGATTTATCAGTTCTCTCTCGGTAATCGAGGAATCTTGTTCGAACTTACGTTTTGATCTTGCTTCTTCTTCCACTTTTATGACCGCAAGCCTTTCCTCTTGTCTGGTTTTCATCCTTTCTTCCATCATTGCTTTCTCTTCGAGTTGGTTCCTTTCCAGAAACTCCTTCTCCCTTGTGATCTTCATCAAAGCCTCGGACTTGTTACTACTCGACTTCACAATTATATCTGCAAACCTAATCTTTAACGCTGCCGCACGATCAGATTTTGACAAGGAAGAAGACAAGAACCACGGATCGCTACTCGTACTTGTTACTGTCGTCATTGGTAGAAAAGAGAGAGAACTAAATCCGAAGAGTAATGAAAAGTAAGAAGAAAACGAATCAGAGAAAGAAACCCTAAATTTGGGAGTGTTGTTGTTGTCTTGCGAGACAAGAGTGTATGCAAAATCTTATATCGTTAAGTATCTGAGTGCGTTTATAAAGATTGTGTTTGTGGCGATTTTCTTTTTTTCCTTTTTCTTTGAGGGATCCGATCATTTATTAATGCATTGGTTATTTCCTTTTTTTCTAAAACTTAGCCGTTGATAATTACTTTTTTTTCTTCTTCTTTTTTTATTAAACTCAAGCTATAAATTATAGATGCTCCTATTTTATTGCGTTTCAATGTAATTGACTATAATTTTGTATTTCTTTTTTTTTCTCAAAAAAAAGACTTTTAGATTTAAACCCTAGTTAACATTCTGATTGGCCTTAACCGGGTTGGACTAAACCGTAATTCTAATTGGTAAATCCTAGCATAACCGGGACGAAACATGCTATTATGCCTTAACCGAACTTCGAACTGTTAAACCCTAACATAACCGGGACGAAAACAAGCTGCTATCCCTTAACCGAAATCAGAACTAACCCGAACGTCGAATTGTTAAACCCTAACATAACCGAAATCAAAACTAAATCCGATTCTCACTCGCTTCGTCTTCTTCTTCTACTCTCCCTCCATTGATTCCTCCCAAATCAATCAAAGCTTCTTCGATCTCCCTCGTAAGTTCTCTCTAACAACTTCACTACATCTGATAATTCTTTCCTTAATAATGTCTAGAAGGTTGAACCTAGCTTTAAAATCGTTACGTCTTATTCATCGCGTCGATCTACAAACCCTAGTTTTCGGTGCGTTACGCAATCGCACAGTCTCCACATCCTCAGAAAACCTCCCGCTTACGTCATCGTCGAGTCATGGTATTGTAGATGAGAGTTACGTCTTAGCAGAACTATCTTCACTACTCCCAATTTCAACTAAAACAAAAACTACCAAAGACGACGTTAGTTCTTCAACGAATCAAGTAACCGTAGATTCGTTTTTATCCCCAGAGGAGAGACTCAGAGGTGTGTTTCTTCAGAAACTAAACGGCAAATCTGCGATACACAAGGCTTTGAGTAGTCTCGGTATTGATATGAGCATAGACATTGTGTCCAACGTTGTTGATAGTGGGAACTTAAGTGGTGAAGCGATGGTTACGTTCTTTAACTGGGCGATACGCGAGCCGGGTGTGTCTAAAGAAGATGGTGTTGTTAGCTACTATGTGATTCTAAGAGCGTTGGGGAGGAGAAAGTTCTTCTCTTTTATGATGGATGTTTTGCGGGAGATTGTTAAACCTGATGTGAAGTGTTTGAGTATTGCTATGGATAGCTTTGCTAGAGCTCATTATGTGCGTAGAGCGATAGAGTTGTTTGAGGAAAGTGGAGATTTTGGGGTGGAGTGTAGTAGGACTGAGTCTTTTAATGCTTTGTTGCGGTGTCTTTGTGAGCGTTCACATGTGTCTGCTGCTAGCTCGGTGTTTAATGGGAAGAAAGGTGAGATATGTTTTGATGGTTGTAGTTATAATATTATGATTGGTGGGTGGTCGAAGTTAGGTGAGGTTGAAGAGATGGAGAAGGTTTTTAAGGAGATGGTGGAAGGTGGGTTTGGTCCTGACTGTTTGTCTTTTAGCTACTTTATTGAAGGGTTGGGAAGAGCTGGTCGTGTTAATGATTCTGTTGAGGTTTTTGATGATATGAGAGACAAGGGTTGTGTTCCTGACGCAAAGGTTTACAACGCTATGATTTGTAATTTCATTTTTGCTAGAGATTTTGATGAATCTGTGAGGTATTACCGGAGGATGCTGGATGAGGAGTGTGAACCTGACTTGGAGACGTATTCCAAGCTTGTTTCTGGGCTCATTAAAGGCCGTAGAGTTGCAGATGCGCTTGAGATATATGAAGAGATGTTGTCAAGAGGGATTGTTCCCACCACAGGGCTCGTTACCTCTTTCATCAAGCCGCTTTGCAGCTATGGTCCACCACACGCTGCCATGGTTATTTATCAGAAAGCGAGAAAAGCTGGGTGTAGGATATCGGAGAGCGCATATAAGCTCTTGCTTAAGCGTCTATCAAGATTTGGGAAATGTGGGATATTGTTGAACGTGTGGGAAGAAATGCAAGAGTGTGGATATCCTTCCGACGTGGAAGTCTACGAGAATATCGTGGACGGGCTGTGTAACGTTGGGCATCTAGAGAATGCTGTGCTTGTGATGGAAGAAGCCATGCGGAAAGGGTTTTGCCCAAACCGCCTTGTTTATAGTAGGCTTAGCAATAAACTCATGGCTTCAAACAAAACGGAAATGGCTTATAAGCTGTTTCTGAAGATCAAAGAGGCTCGTATTAAAGACAATGCTCGCAGATTCTGGCGAAGAAATGGGTGGCACTTTTGATCTTGATGTTCTGTTGTATGTTTACAGGGAAACTGAAAAAGTCTTTGTATATGTGAAAACTTTACTCTAATAAATTGTAATAGAGAACACTTGAAAGTTACATAGAGTAGGGTTCGGTTTGTAATCTTACCTTTATTAACCCCTTTTGGTGGGTGGCGGCTTAACACACAAATGCATACTTGTTCCTCTCTAGGTTGCTGTCGGAAGATTACGATTCTTAGTGTTCTAAATGGAGGCAGTAATAAGGAAATGGCAGCAAAAGTTCAGAAAAGCGAAAGAGGAGATGAACAAATGGGAGGCGCTTCAAGTTGGATGGGTTTCCCGCTTCAGTAAAGCTTCTTCTATCATCCAGAGATTACAGGTATAGCTGGAATAATTGTGTTTGTTGGCTTGATTGAATACTGTATATCTGATTTTTTTTTTTTGGGTTCTGTGAAAAGGAAATTCAAAATCCTGGGAGCTATGGAGCTTTGAGATGTGTTAAGGGAATTGAAGACGCGGTCTTGAAGAAACAGATGGATCAACTGGAGGCTACTCTGCTTTCTATGAAAAACGATTTGTAAGTATTTTCGTCACAAATTGCTGTTTAGGATTGTTCTCGTAGTAAGTAAAGGTTGTTGACATGTTACATTCATGGGTGGTGCTGACGGAAGGGAGGAGTTCCGCGGATGTGTTTTGACATTTGAGAAGCTTCATCGAGAAGGGTCGCAGCTACTCAAAATGGAACAGAGCAAGAGGAGAATAGAGGAACGGATTGGAGTAAAACCTTGCGTTGCAGATTGTTTAGAGGGACTTTCTCTTCTTTATGTGATGCATCAGTCTGAGTAAGCAAACAGAATCTACTTTGTTATTGAAGTTGCAATCATCATTTACTGATTTTTTTGTTGTTGTGATTTTGGCAAATTCTGCAGATACCATCTTAAATGTTCGATTCTTTCGGCACTTTCATGTCTTGTACTGAAACCAAGGTACTGAAAGATATTATACAAAACTTTGGGAAGTTTATATAATATTGTTTAAAAATTGCTCTCCTGTGTTCACTACAGTCCTGGCGATCTTGTAGCGCTCCAATACCTCGTGGTTGATCAGCCAAATATCCTGAATAATGAAGGTAATTATCGTTCGTCTTCCATTGTTTTGTTTGCGATATGAAGAAATGAATGTTAATTTAGCTTCTTATCTATTGTGCAGTGCAACACATCTTCGATCTCATATTCGCTGAAGAGATCAAATAATGTTAAGAGGGAACATCTTTATTTTATTTTCTTAACTTGCAAAACAAAAATGTAGTTCTCACGATAAGGTTATAGTATTGGTGAATGAAAAAACTGTTACGAATGTAAGACGGACGGCAAGCCTTGTCTTCAACCTATAGTTTCCCTGAACCGAGAACCAGAGTTAGTTTCACCGTCACGGTGCTCGAATTCTGGACCACCAATTTCGTACATCAATTTGACGATTGTTCAAATGAAAAATTAAATTTGATAAGTATGCACCATATAATTAGTTGATATTAAATAAAAAATTAAATTTGATAAGTATGCACCATATAATTAGTTGATATAAAATTTGCTTCACTGGAATACATTCTGTTTATTCATTTTGATATTACTGATGAACATTAATCCTTAAATTTGCATTGTTTACTCTTGTAAGACAGCCGATTTGGCAGAGAAAAAACGAATCTTTTTTGAAGAATAAGCACTGGAAGGGTATGTTTCAAAAAAAAAAACACTGGAAGGGTGTTGAACCAATCCAAAGGGAAACAATCTTGAAGACTAATATTCATCAATTAGTATTACAATTTCTTTTACTCGAAACAGAGATTATATTAACATAGATTAAATACATGATTGAGACACTGAAGCCGGCAAGCCACACAGCTTCCGGAGAGTAAGCCAGCGGATGAAAGAGCAATCCCTGGATACTTTAGCTGGCGAACAACAGAAGTACTACAATTCTATGTAGATCAATTTTATCTAAAATGATTATATAATATTTATTTCTAGTTTGGAACAAATCTAAATAAAACATAGTAGAAGACATGATCGTGTCAAACAAATTTAAAATTTGAGGTCAAGCTTTAACGCTAGAAAATTACTCCTCAAATGAATCAGAGATTGCTGAACATCGCGACAAAGGAAAAAGTGAAAAATTATCTTGTTTTGATGCATTCGGAGAAAACACCAAAAATCTAATGTAATGGCAGTACTTTTCTTTCAATGACACATTACTAAAAAAATCTATTATACTTAGTGAATACCTTTTTGAGAACAGGAAAAACGGATGTTAAGTTCAACAACACCAATATTTGCTTGATTCCAAACACCGAGAGATCCACTAAGATGACAGTATTGAGACCTATCAATCTTTACAATGTAGGACATAAGATTATTTCAAAGAATTATGTTAAGGGTTAAAGGTTAAAGGGTTGCTTCCTATATCTCATCTCGTAAATACAATCGGTTTTTGCAGCAGAGAATTTGATTTCAGATAATATATTTATCGTTCAGGAAATATTTTAGGGTTTATGAATCAATAATTTATGCAAAGGAAAATATATGGAGAACAAAATAAATATGAGCAAGGCATATGATAGTAGATTTAAGTTTAATTTGAGTCCTGCTCTATAAGATGGTATTTGATGTTCAATAGATTCAATTGATGATAGAATATATATCTTCGGTACAATATAGAATTCTATTGAATGGACAGCTAAGAGAACACATAATTAATTTATAAATCTTTATGCATTATGTTGTTAATTTAATAGTTAATTTATAAAAACTCATAAATATTTTAATAATTCTTATAAATGATTAATAATGCTTCATAAAGCAAGAATAATATATCTCAATTTAGACAAAAGTAAAGCATGTTGGTTCAGAAATCAATGAGAAGAAAAGTAACCCATGCATTATTTTACAAAGCAAAGTGGATAGCATTGGTTCAGACTTCATGGCTGTCTTTTTTTTTTTTTTTTTTTTTGAACTTTTTCTTAACTTCATGGCTGTCTTTGTATTTGACTTTCTCATTAACTGATTGTCTTTCTCTTTGACCTAGTATAACCGACTATTTTTCTCTTTGACTTCATAAGTTAATTATCGTCAGTAATGTTTCCAGCATTGTCAAATACAAAAATGGTGAAATTGAATTTTAAAAAAATTTAAGTTAGAGTAGGTTTTAATAGTGTTAACGATAATTAACTCATGAAGTCTATATTCCTATTTAGAGTAAAACGTCAATTTTCTTTCGGCAATTCTCTCAAATAGATATTTTTAAATTTTTATCATAAAATAGATTCCAAAAATTAAAATGACCAATATAACATTTTTTATTTTGAAAATTCTAAGTTTTTTTTTAAATTTTTGCTTTTGAAATCCTATCCACAAAACTCCACTACTCAGCTCTAAACAAAAAAGTATAGGATTAGTTATTCCAAAAGATATAAGTTTATATTTACTTTTTTTTTTATAAAAAATATAAGTCTATTTTGATTTTTTTTAAGGTCTATATTTGTGATAAAATTTTTTTAGGTATATCCTATAGAATTTCTTATCTTCTATTCCTATTTTTATTATTTCCGACACTTGAGGTATACTTTCCAACTGCTCTACAAAATAATACAGGGGTCATTCTTCTTCTCATCTATTTCTAAATTAATATGTTGTACTTTTGTCGTCTTGAGATATATTATTCTCTCTTTATAAGTTTTATGAGTCATTTGTAAAATATTAAAATATTTATAAATCTGTATAAATCGGTTATAAAATTGATAAGTAATGTATGAGGGTTTATAAATTAGTTTTAAAGGCTTATAAATCAGTTTTAAATAATTCTTAAATGATAATAAAGTTTTTAAAACTATTTAATGCGTTTTAGTGATAAAAACTCTCAACTATTTCTGAATCATAAGAAAACCTCTCAACTAAGTATTCAGCATTATAAACTCTCAACTTATAAACCACTAGTTGCATATTCCCCGGGATCATTATGTTTGCGTGTATTTTTTTCGATTGTTGGTTTAGTGGATTCTTCTAATGACACCAATTAATAATGAAATGGAAAATTTCATGTTTTTATATCGTATGTCAAAACTTGATATAATTCTATATTTATAATATTTATATTTGTATTAAACGATTTATCAATATGAAAATAACCTTAATTAAGTTAATGTTCGTTGTTTAAGTTTCATTAGATAGGTTTTTATATATGGTTTTTTGTAAGTTTCGGTTTTGTTCATAAATGATGTGGCATTTTTATCT